CTTGCTTCATTTCTAATGCACTAAAGCAAACTTAATTCATGTTATTTTATATATTTATACTGTATTATTATTAAGTATTTGACAAAAACTCTTAAAAATCATTTTTTATGCATAAAGTATTGGTTACTGATGTATATTACTTAAAATTCAAGATCTGTATGTACAACTTATTAAAACTTTATGTTTGAATTTGTGTAACTAACTATAGATAAACATAATCAAATTATGGATAATTATTTCATTTTAAATATAAATAATTTAAAATATATTTACGATAATAATTGAATTCAAAATAATAAATATTATCTTTATAAAAGAATTATATTATTAAATTAAAAATAAATGACTTCATTATTAAATCTAAATTAAATTATAGTAAAAAATAGAAATAAAGAAATTATACAAAAAAAAAGAASTTTTAAATATTTAATTTGATACAAAAATCGATATGTGTTTTTCAAAATCTTATGATATTTTCAAATTTATATTTTATTTAAAAAAATAAAAACAATATCTTTTTTTCGGTACCATATAAAATCGTATTATAACATCGACAGAGATAGAATAAAATGAAACATTAAAATCGAGATATATCTCGTTGCATTGCGTGAGTACCCTTCTAGTATTTATATATACCGGAAGGGTACTCGTGCAATGTATCGAGACACATATTGATTTCAGTGTTTCGTTTTATTTTTTTTATATGTCGATATAATACGGTTTTATGTGATTTTGAGAAAAACGATAATGTTTTTATTTTTGAATAAAATATAAATTTGAAAATGTTATAAAAAATTTGAAAAAAAATATATATCGATATCAGTATCAAATTAATTTTTTTTTAAAGTTTTTGTGTTTTGGTGTAATTTCCTTAATTCAGTTTTTTTAATTATAATTTAATTTAGGTTTAGTAACAAAGAAATTTAATTTAGGCTTAATAATATAATTTTTTATAAAGATAATAACTACGTACAAAAGTGGTATATAATAGTAGATGATTTCAAATTTACTTTGAAAATATGAGAAGAATATCTGTGATTCGGATTTGTCTTGTGTGTTTTGTCATTACATTACAATAGGTATGTTACGAATTACAGTTTACGATGAAATACTGATTTATATTCTAGTTTTACGATTGTGTTCATTGTATTTGATTAAATCATGTCTGATTGTCGTCTCCCTTTCTCGACCTAGTATTCTTCCTCGAACTGTGGTCGCTTCAGGAACGTTAACTCATAATCGGCCATTAACAATAAACGAAAGCGACAACGTAACACGAGGAACACTGAGCAAGGTTAAAACAAGACACGCATTGTCATTACTGTAAAAAATCGGGTATGAAGTTATTTTTCATGTTACAAAAGTTTGAAAAGAATTTGAAATACGTATGTGAATGCCTAAGTTTGACACGGGTTCGCCCCATAAACAGGCAGGATCAACACCGACCTCATTCTTATTAACCTGTATGTCATGTGTGTCGAAACAGGCGAGTGGGTCAAACGAGCTGTGTAATGGGTAAAATTTTCCGATGTGGGTCAGAACAGGTAGGTTGGTTTGACCCGACAACATTTTTTCCGTGCATTAAATATGATTACAAAACTACTGGCACGTTTTTTAATAACCCGATCTGATTAACCCCCTCCATACGTTGTTAAGTATCTATTAAATCGTTCAACTCATTATTTATGGACCCGTTCGACCCATTTTTTTCAAAATACTCTCTGTTTAATATGTCAAATCAATTATTATGTCAAATCAAATGTTATGTTTACATAATACATAGTGTGATGATATAATAGTTTGGTTTTGTCTTGTTATAGTTGTAAGATTGTGTTTTCTTGTTGTGTGAAATGTCGAAAATGCCCTTGGAGTTATTGAGTTGTCAAAGTGTAAGATAAGTGGGGATGGGTATATCTCAATAATTTTTCTCCATGATTAGAAGAATGTTTATCCCTTTTAGTCCACATCTTTTGTGGCTCATGTAGCCCAACAGCAACCATTAGGCCCATCTCTCACATGTGTTATCATGGGAAATTCAACACAATTTTCCCCATGAACTAATTGAGTAAGGTGTTGGTCGGGTTGGTCAGGTTGGAATGGACGTTATAGGTCTGTATTCAGTGGGGCCTTTTGTGAGTGAGTGTATAGATAAGCTCGTATCAGGGGCGGACCTACAGTGGTGCCAACGGTGGCATGTGCCACTGTATTATTCATTCCTCCAAGGGTAAAAGAATTTAGGTTCGTGAAAGGTGCAACTGTATTAATTTGTTGTGTGCCACTGTGTGTATTTTGAAACTACAATGTGAACAAGTTTTCTTTGGTAGAGTTAGTTTGCAAGGCTTTTATTCCACCCCATATGGGAGTTTGAATCATGTTAGTGTCATTTTCTTAGTCAAATGGTGTCACAATTTGAAAAACTTTCCCTTTTGTTCTTTAGTCAAATGATGTCATCATTTGAAAAAATTTCTCTATATTTGTTTCTTATAGCCAAATGGTGCCACCGTTTGAAAAAAATTCTGGGTTCTTCTCTGTCTCGTATCGTCGTATAACAGTGTGTATGTGCGAGACAAAACGAGGGTCAAGATTGGTTTGCTTTTGTAAGGTAGTAAATGGGGTCTCGGGTTTGATTGTGGTTAAATGAGTGAAATAGATATTGAACAAAACGATAAAAGCTTATATATCAGATACATACATGACTGGATGTGCTTTGATGGAACAACTCGGTTTTATGGCTTAAGTCAAGGTTTTACCTATAAATAAAAGAGTAAAGTTCAATTTTGGTCCCTAACGTTTGTAATTTTCTAAGGATATCGTTCCTAAACTTCAAAAACTCATATTCAGTCCCTCACGTTTGTCAATTCTCAACGATTATGGTCCCTCGGTCAAACGATGGTTAAGTTTTTCCGTTAAATCCAGTTAAATGGAGGGTGTTTTAGTCATTTTCACTATTTTCTTGATCTTGTATTAAAGTTTTAAAAATATATAAACATATTTAATCATAAATTGTAAAAACGAAATAAGTGAAAATAGTGAAAAAAGAGAGAAAAAAATATTATATTTTTAAATTACAAAAAGCTTATTTCTTTTTCGTTTTACAATTTAAACTTTAAAATTAATATGTTTTTTTTTTTTTTTTAACATAAATTTAAGGAAATGAAAAAGACTAAAATACCCCTTATGTAACTAGACATAACAAAAAAAAATTCAATGACTGTTAGACTGAGGGACCAAAACCGTTAGGAATTGACAAACGTAAGGGACTGAATCCAAATGTTTTAAAGTTTATGGATGATATCCGTTGAAAATTGCATATATTAGGGACCAAATTTAAACTTTACTTTAAATAAAACGATAAAATCATTGTTGAAATGAAAACAAAAAACAAGACTATTTGTTGTTTTAATAATAATTGAAAACACACAGATAAATGACAACAATCAAATAAAAACGCTTGGAATACTCAAGGGGTCTAAGAAGAGACACCACTATCACGCTATCGACTTATTCGAGTCGGGTTGGTAATAGAAAAACTTGGGACCGACCCATTGAAGACATGGCCAGCAAGTTCATACGCTAAAGGATTGAAAGCTGAGCAGCTGACGAAAACAAACTGCTGACAAAACATATAAAGGAAATTCAATCAGCAGCTAAAGAAGTTGATGTTCAACGAGTAGATTTTAGTAGCTGAAGACTCATTCTGATAAATTTAGACTGTAAAGTTAAAGACCTGGTCTAATACTCAACAATTGAATAACTCTGTCTTATTAACTTGAATGCAAAAGAGGACTACGAGATTGTAAACCCATGTGAAGCTGCAAAAAATGATTTAGAGACAATTTGATAGTATCATGGTACTGTAAAACATACATGCCCTAAATGCAACATTTAATACAGTATGGCGTACATTAAATGCATTATGGGGAACATACTACAGTGACTTCACAAAAGTCACAAGAAGACCAACAAATTTGGACAAAAAGTTGATTACTGACAACTTCAACCGGTCCCACACGGAACCCGCCTCAGAGTGAGTGAGATGTCTTGTAATCTGCTATTGTATAAAAATCTCGTGTTCATACTCAGATCGCTAGTTGATTTATAATTTATACTGTGTACAAGACTTGAAAGAAACTGTATTCAACCACCCTCTCTATAAATACTTGGGTTACAAGAACATAGCATCTGTTTGAATCATTTCAGGGAAATGGAAATAAGAATGTTGTAAGATAAAAATAAAAGGGGGATTGTTTGTGCCACAAAGAAGGAATAAAAGAACCTCGTACTATCAAAGTGTCTTTGACCTAGCGGTATGTGAGTCATTTACCTCCTAGGAGGTCAAGGGTTCAAACCTCACCAAAGAAGAGGAGGGTGTGTGAGTTTATTTGTTTTATTTATCGTATATAAATATTATATACTTCCAAAAAAAACCCCGTACTGAGTTCCATTCCCCCCAATTTGGCTAAGAAATGTTTCCTTCGCTGGTATCAGTATGATTTATTTCAATGTATCGAACCAGATGCCACTAATAATTTTCACTCTTAACTATCGATCACCAACATACATCTCCATGTCGTTGTAGCATCGAATCATACCACTTAATAAAACGACATCATAGCAAAACACTTTTCATCCATTCAAATTTCCTTTCATGTTCTCTACTTCTGATTTTTCAACATAAACACCGAAACCCACAAAATAAAATAAACGTGTACTGTATAACCTCCCAAAAACGCACTTCAAAAAATTTGTACCCGTTCAGAGTTACTTTCAAGAGAATATAACATCACTCTTTTAAAGTAAAGAACAAGTCTCCATACATCCACCCCAGACCCCACATAACAAGATAACTTTATCCAAATACAAGACAGGTCTAGGGTCAAACCCGAACCCACGAGCCTTGACCGCTAAGTGAGGCCCGTTGGGTTGCCAATAACCAACTTTTTGGGCAAATGTAGCATCAGTAAAAGTGAACCAACAAAAAGAAACCAAAGGGACTTGGATTTTTGAACATGACAAAGTCTTGATTTACTTGATTGTGGAAGCTAACAACATGAATTTTCAAGAACCAAAAACAAGTGTAGAGTTATACATTTGATCCATGCATGCAATGCATCCTCAGATAGTTGAACCAAAAATTTACAATTATAACCATTTTTGTTTGCCTATTTTACCCTTCTAAGTTTTCTAATTCAGAGCAAATGTAACACATCTTTGTAGAGCACTAAACTCCAAAAAGACACTCATGAAGGAGCATCATCCCCATCCATCATATCTTCTTCCTTTATGTTACCCCTTGCATGATCCCTGACAGTGGTTGTAGTTTCAAATTCAAGTTAAAACACATGAAAATATGGATGGATTTACTGTCCATGCTTTGACTTTTGAGGTCAAACAAATATTTTCTCTGTCCCAAAATAAGTGTCCACTTTCAAAAAGTGTAATATTTTCCAGTTCTACTCTATTATTAAGGGTAAATTTGTCATTAGATGAATTGTCGTAATCACACATTTCTACAACTTCGTGTTTTTTCATTGTGGACATTTGTGTTTAGGACAGGGAGTGGCCTCTAACTTTCATGCATCACATTTACTACAGATTGAAATACATGGGTAGTTTAGTAATTTCACAGGTGGGAAGGTGAAAGAATTGCGAAATGTCATAATTTGACATGGTATATTAGTAATTTACCAATCTTTGTCTCATCTCCCTGATTTTTGTTCCACCTATTTTGGCGGGACGAAAAATGCGTTTTTGTTGGTCAAATACCACACCGAATGTAGGACAACATGTTTTGTTCTATCATGTCTTGTCTCACGTACTAAACGCGCCCTAAGTTTGTCTTAAAACACAACTTATGTGCTTGTGTATGCATGTCTTCATAATAAAAAAGAGTACAAGAAGACATTTGATACTACCTTGTAAGAATATTCGCGTTAAAGCTTTGACGTCGAGGCTTTTCTTCTTCATCAACATCAGAATCGTATTCTTGGCCACTCCATATGCGCGGTTTTGGTCGTTTCTCCATCGGCTCCTCGGCCTATTTCATTAGAAAGCAACAAAATTAGGAATAATGTGAAGGGAAATCAGTGAATATATCGCATAACCGTATTATTTACCTCCTCCGGGGCTTCCGTGATAGGTGGCGTTATCTGAAATGGCACACTAGGAGAATGTGGTAATCTCGACAGTTGCTCGAGCAGCAAGTTCCTGTGATGTTTGATATCCGTCAAAATAGAGTTTCAGAAATGACTTCATGCACAATAGTGTAATATTTCTACATCCCACGAAAAACCCACTTTGTTTTCCAGAATGCCGCATAAAAATTGCAACATTTCGCCGTTTAGTATGTTCGAAAACCAAACCGAACAAGTGTAATATATCCCATCCGAAGGTGGGTCCCGCCCCATGAGGAGGAGGGGGGGGTCAGACACGTTTCCGTGAAGACCCCGTTTTAGTATATTATGTTTCAACTATTTAGCTATTTTACCATTTTCATAAACCAAACAAAACTTTGAGTTCTGTGGAGCGTAAGTTGTAGGCAGACTTGACCCATACCCCAAAGAATGGAGCGGCTATGTAGGTGAAAACCCCCAGCTTGTGAAAAGCGTGACAAAGAGAGAGTCGGATATGACAAAGTTTTGAAAAGCAGGTGATAGTTGACCATCTCCATCATTATAAAATACTCACCATAACACGGAGGTATATAAGATATTAGATATTTGGTCAAATTGCTCGGTTAAACATTGCAATTTACATCAAACCAAGGAAGTACATCGAAATATATAGCTACGAGCACATATACTAAAATCGCTTCCATGTATCTAGAATTTATAAGTTAACAACTACCATAGACCACTTTACCCCCAAAACTAGTCGCGCATGCTAAAACTGAGAAACAAACTAACGGGTAAGCTAAAAATAGAAGAACGAAAAGTGAGTGAATCCGAAAACCGGCAAGTTCGGTTGACTTTTTTGATCCGGAACTTTTTGTTGAGCACATGGCAAGATGTTTTTAAGAAAGTTATGAGCCTGAACAACCGCCCAATGATGTTTTTAAGAAAGTTATGAGCCTGAACAACAGCCCAATGTGTTTATAAACAAGATGCCCCTCCTACTATCCTCTCATCTAACAGACTTCTCACTGCTATTTTCCCCTTTTACCCCCACGGGACAAACTACTCACAATTCCTAAATTACCCTTCTTATTAATGCTATTTCAGCATTATTATAACTACCATAAATGTTACTCTAACCTTTACCTCTACCAACGAAAGTTCCCCCCGGGGTATAATAATACCCACCCCCCAACTTTCACCTTGTCCTCAACGTGGAAAAGAAATGAAGAAATTGTTGTTGGCATGTTACGACATCTCCCCTACCAGTTGCAACCGCCTTCCAAATAAGCTTCACACCGCCTTCATTGTTGCTCGTCAAGGCCAGAGTCGAAATCAAAAGAACTTCAGTGAGTACCATGCTTGGATTTCCGCCAACTTATAGACAGATCCAACTTTTCTTGACCAAACTTATTTTCAACACAACGACCATGGATGGTCGGTTACTAGACAAAGGATAGACCAACTTCGTAGTCTCATGTCTTTGCTTGTAGCATCCGGTCTTGATCCTCTACATTCCCAATTTTCTCCATTTGCGAAAGTATACTGGAAATCTTAGGTTATAATGCTTCAAGTAGTCGTAGTTTGGTACTTGAATGTGACCATTCTACCTTTGACTTCAAAACATCTCTAGCAGTGCTCCCCTTTAGCAATATTCGATAAATCTCTGTAAATTAGACCGATGGTTTTATCTTTTTTAACTTCCAATCAAAATGAAGTAACCAACTACCCATATCCCTACCCACAAGCTTGCCACCATCACCAATGGCAACACAATGATCATTCGCATGAGTAGTGTTATGTGCGATTCCTATAAACTTTTGAAAACCTTCTAAACCACCACTAAAACATCTTCATGTTTAACCACCTTCGTTTACTCATAGAAGATGCATTTTTCTTCATCTATATCCATGTTATATATCGAATCAAATATGTCACTTCCATCATTCTCCCACAAGCTTCAAGTTCTGGCAAATGTGCTCATAGAAGAACCAAGTGAGGTAGACATCCAAGAATTGCCCGTAAAACACACTTTCAGAAACCAGATGGTCCCCACATTTGAAGGAATATGCTTGGTCGGATACACGGAGTTAAAGTTTATCCCGAAGATTGCATAGTTTCCAATCTTACAATCATTAAAAACATCCCACAACCTGTAATTCTACATCCCATCCACCGGATTATCATGTCCCAATTTAAGTCCCAAGTCTTGCTTTTGCAATATATTTGGGAACAATAAACATGCTTTCTAATCCACCAATCCCAACCATATCGGTGCGGTGAACATGCCACATCTTCAAAAATTGATAAGGAAGAAGAGTTATTTTATACAAGTGGTAGGGCAGCATTAATCCTCCAATGCCATCAAACTGAGCAGCACATGGTTTAGAGAAAATAAACCACAATCCATTGGCTAGGACGGTGTTAGCGGGGGTGGGGGCCAACCAATCTTTCTTTATGTCGTCCATGATACAAAGTATGCCAAGTCCATATTAAGTTTGGCATAGGCTTGAGCCGAATTTGACTAAACTTAAGCCATATTGACATAACTAAACTCGATTGGGACATGCTGAAACGAGTCAACGACTTGATTGGGCTTTTCTCCTAATCGATCTCTTTTCTAAGGTATTGGTTCCACTCAATAGTTCATGTAAATACATGACCGTGAGCGTCAGTGACCAGTGTCAGCCATGGTGGAGTAGGCAAAGATGACGGAGGTGATGGCGGAGAGGGTGGTGACAAAGGCGACAGAGACTTGAGATAGTTGTCTAACCCAACACTTCCCCTCAAATATTGATCTCTCTTTTATGTGTGTTCTCTCACCGTCCCTCTCTATATTTTCTCCTTCCACTCCCTGCAAATTCTTCTCCATATCGCCCCTTTCCATGGCCACACCTTGTTTCAAGGTGTAGATTTGTTCACAGATTGAACCATCGGCTATGGAACGAAACTCACAAAGTATCAATCACTTCAGATCCTACCAACGAATAAGAGGCCTGGTGCTCCCATTGAAACCAACATGAGGTGACGCCTTCAAACGAACTTGCAAAGAGAGGAATGCGACCTATGTTATAGTTTTTTCCTCCACTTGCTCTTCCTTATTCAAACCGTTCAAGGAAAAACAATTGTCAACTTGTGAAATCCAATCATAGGGGTTGTTGACGTTGAAAGTCAAAAATTTTGGTTCACGAACGTTGTTCTCCCGAGATCGACTCGATTTAGCCCCTCCACTTTTCTTCTCTACTATCTTAATCCGCCTTTCAAGACTTCAAGTTTCTTCATGATGGTTTAGATATCTTCCTTGAGTGAACTCGCCTTGATCTAGACTCTCCTAAAATTGGCTTCCATTTTGTCGATTTGAGAAGCTAAATGGAAGCTAATGTTTATGTCATGGTGCCAAAATCACCACTTCGAAACCAATTGATGCACTCCTATTAATTAGTAACGAAAGAAAACAATTTCGAGATGGTAGGATTTTTACTCTCAATCAAATAACTAACCTCCCTATAGCTCTCGCCTTTTTCGTTGATTACAAATCATATGCTCCCTCCTATCCTCTCAGTCTACTACTTTCCCCTTTTACCCCTATGTAACAAACTACTAACAATTCCTAGAATCCCCTTATTAGTAATGTTATTACAGCATTATTATAGCTACTACCAATGTTACTCTAAGCGGTTAAAGCAATTGTTTTATAAAATTTTATAAATTCATGGTCAGGAACATGAATTGATATAGTGGTTATGGCGTTGGTAAAAAAGATGTCTTAGCGGAAAAGAAATTAAGTTGTTAAGTTTCATATAATAAATACAAATATATATATATATATATATATATATATATATGATAAAGCAAGGAACTCAATATATTGTAAATGTAAATATGTCTGATACAGTCGTACATATCAACTATCAAGTAAGTAAAACAAATTAAGTCCAGAGTCTCGAACCTTGAAGCATGGAAAAAACCAATTGAATCCGAAAGCATAACCGAATCTCTTTGGAAGGGACGCATACATAAAACATAATTCATAAAAAAACTAATCACTAAAGGTAGAAGTCTGAAACATATTAACATAAGCCCCAAATATCCTACCAAAACGACCTAGGGAGAAATTGTGATTATCCAGCTGCTATTTGAGGTCCATTTTGGTGGTCATATAACAGTAAATATCGCCGCTAATCGCGAGATCACTATTATGCACCTCTATTTCCTCAACCACTGCTAACCACTATAACAATGCTAAACCATCACCAACTAGTTGCTATTAATTGCCTAGATAGCTTCATATACAAACACACAAACATATATGGTTCGCATAATAAATACAAATATGTATATACACCGTAGACGTCGATGATAAACTAAGAGAAGGAGAGAACAAACAGAGACGATGATAAACCAAAAAAGCCTAGGCTTGGAAGAAAAATAAGAGGAAAAAAAGCCTATTGATTTTGAGCCCAAACAAAATAATAAATCAAGCACCACTAAATAGCGGCTTTAGCACCGCTATTTCACCTTCAAATAGCGGTAAATAGCCCCGCTACCGCAATTTTGTCCCGCTATGCACTATTCACTCCATGGCTACAAACCGCTATACCACCGCTACAATGGCACGATTAACTGGATAGACAAGGATCTCAGATAAACCCTATATTTGACAAGTTGGGCATGTTTGATGTATTTGCTCCAACTCAAGGATAAGTGTTAAGATTAAAAATTCATTTATATTACTTATCTAATTAGGTTAAATAGTCTTTTAGGATTTGTAATGATCTTGGCCCATGGCCCGTATGTAATCTATAAGTATTGTGCTTACGTTATCAAGGTGTTGATGTCAACACCAGATTCTAATATTCATCACTCTCGAAACAGTAATAACAACCACCAGCCTTACTTGCCACTGCACCCAAATATTTTGGTTCTCGGGTATCCAATCAATTAAACCCCCAAACTACCAATGCTCATAAAAACCTCAGTCGGTCAGTCCGCCACTCATCCGACTGAAGGTTTGCCATTTGCATAATGAGACCACCTTCCTAAGCTGGTAAGAAGTTAATTCTACCATCATTCATAAAATCTTGAATGATTAAAGCATCACTAATTCACTAATCTCTTCAAAAACACAAATCTAAGATATATCAAACCGAAAATTTTTACAAGGAGTACCTTATTATTAATTGACTATTGGAAAACACATGTTTTTAACATATTTTAGAACATTATTATACACAAATCCCAACCACCCCCAGGGGATGTCAAAATCCTATGTTTGAGGAATTTCATAAATCCTAGGATTTCAAATCCGAGCAATCCTGCAAACTAAACACGGGATTGGAATGAATTTTCCAAATCCTCCCAATCCTTTCCATTCCTGCAAACAAAACGGGACCTAAATGATTTGCCACTGAGCATGCAAATCCTACAATATTTATAATTCTAATGATGGTTTAAGTTACTCTACATAAATTTCATGCACTTTGAGCTGAAACTACATAAATTGTTAGGTTTTGTTAGTTTTCATTCCATAACTTCCTTTCTTCCACCTTACAAGGTAGACCAAAATTCAAAGCAAAATAATGGGATAAAACATTCAAAAATAGCGACAAGCTTTGGGAGAGACTGAAAAGCACCTTAGAAAGTGCCATATCAAATTAGTAAAGAAAGTTTTGAGTGACCACAAGATACCAAACAAGTCCGTCTTAGATAGAAATGCATAGAGGAATATTATTGAGACCCATGAACAGGGTTCACCTACATAGAATTTCCCTCTTGTTTCATTTTACCTACACTAACTAGTATCGACGAAAGATTTATGTTAATATTGATGTTGATATTCTGCTGTTTCTTTGAATTTATGTCTTACAACTTGCACGTAAAGTTGAAAACCAGACCCCAAATATAAATTGGAATATTTTTTCCATCCTTCCTTCCCACAACCCAAATAAAAGAAAGAACATAAAAGACCCACACACTAGTGACACACAAAGAGCAACATCATATTCATGTAGACCAGAAAGACATGGAGAAAGTAAATGCAACAAAACCTATTAAACAATTAAAAAATCCAAAATAGAAAGGCTTTCATCCTAGATTTCTTGTTCAAGGCCCGAGAAATTTGCCACCCAAGACTAACTTCGGTTAGGAGGGTACTGGGACTTACAAGCTTTAACCACATTTCGAGACCGCTCTACCATTCGGGGTAGAGAACAAGCCTGCATGCATCCCCCTCCCCACCCCTCAAAAAAAAGACCCTGCACACAAGCAGGGCATGCTGGCATTGTTTGATTTGGTTTGGTTTCGATTAACCAACAACCCACCACACTCACTAGAGAATTCTTCAATATCAGCTAGGTGTATAATTGATTTAGTAAATATGCATTTATGCATGTGTACACTAAGAAAGAGAGAGCGTATACAATGCTAAAAAAAATTTGGATGATTCTGATGTGAAGGTGTGGTGGTAAGGGTTCTCCCTTTTTATGTGAAGCCACACATTCTAGTCTCATCCCGCTCACTAATAATAAATAAAATTAGAGAAAAGCAAGCAATAACTAAAAACACATATATGGATCATGGAAAGACCAAAACTATCCCTCCAAACAAGCATCATAAGAATTCCAGGACAAAATATAGATATTTACCTCAAAATTAACCTACACATGACTAGAAACCACGCATCATAAGAATCCCATGACAAAATATAGATGATACCTCAAAACTAACCCTCCAAATGAGCCTAAGTATGAATGTCTCATAACTTGAACAAATTACTAGCTATTACATGTATAAAATGTAAATGGACTAAGAGTTTTTTAGAGTTCATAGGAACTAAACCCTATTCGACCTAGGTTCTAATAATATTATATATATATATATATGCATGACAAATATACAAACACAAATTCTTAAACTAGCTCAGGTAAATCTTCTTGTATGAGTTTGAACTCAATTGGCTACAAAACCGGGCTAAGCCTAAACATAAAATTATGTGCATAATGACTCCAAACCCTGGTCCATCCTCATCAAAGTATCAAAAGAAGAGCTAATCATACTCTTGAAATTTTTTGTACCATGCATGATAGAAAATGGTCAATGAGGTAAAATTAATATTTATGTTCAAGTAAGCATACTAGGTTTGTTTGCTTTGGTTTTATCGCGTACACTCTTTTATTGCCTTCTTCCCACCTACTTTGGACTGTATGTATATTGCACATATGCACCACAAACTCAGGGCATGTTTGTTAGCAGCTTAATGAGCTTAATGAGACTCGCAACTTATTCGGTCAGCAATAAATGACAGTTTGGTAGTGGCTTGATATAAAAAGTGGCTTATTCGGTAAGCTTCTAAGAGGGAGCTTTATGCAAAAAGCCAAGTTTTTTTCCCAAGCACGCTCCTTCAATCTATGAAAAAATATCCCAAACAAAACATTCCCAATCTATACAGACAGATTAATCCACACCGACAGCTTTATCCGTACATAGCTTAATGGGGAACCAACTAAACAGCTCCTTACATTAATCTTTTAGCTTTAAATTATTAGATAATAACCATAACCATGGCATCTATATTTTCTCCATTCCCACCTTAATACAGCTTACTAACTTCTCTAACCAAATCCGGTTCACCAATAAGCAAATTAAGGTCAAAGAATGTTGAGAAAGTGTTAGTTGACACTACTACTTGAACCAGAAGTTTTAAGACACTGTCGATATAGCACTTCCAACACTTTCTGTTAGGATGTGTTGATTAAAATCAGAAGTTAAAACGCGATCTTAAATGTGTTCAATCTTCCTTGTAATCCACTCTCCAACTCTGTCATCTATGGAAGTCCTAGAGACGAATCCCAACATCAAATATAACTCCTAACAAGTATACCCAACATCCATGTATCATATAGCATCTAAAAAACTATTTTCTAACATAGATTTAGGGAACAATTAGATGCATTTATGGCAAAGCAAACTCCATGACAGAATTATTTCTCGATAAAAGAAACTATTAGCTCTATAGGCACAAAATGGTTGTCTATTGACAAATTTCATATTCTTTTATGAACCAAAGAACCATAAAAATGAAGATATAACAACTTTCTAATTTAATGAAGCCTATAAAAATTAACTTAACAGAAAGTAGGTGCTCAAGGTTAGACAGGTAAACAGTATCTATAATACAATCTCACCTGATTTTCTCCAAATCTTTTGGAGTATTTTGGTTCTCAAGAGGACTTGGCTCAACATGAAGAGTGTAGTCTGGTCCAAAATACTCAAAATATTCATTGTAAGGCAGTTTATTTTCAGGCTCGACCCCAACCGCAACTGCTGTCTGCAAATTTTGAAGAAATTGAATTCGATTGTCAGTATTCCAGCAGAACCGAACAATTTCTTATAGGAAAATTTATCAATGAAACACTAAAAAAAATCGGGAGAAGAGACCTCATAACACCAGCACCGGGCCACATTACGAATTGTATAACCACCACCACCTAAAACCATTAGAGGAACGTTGAATGATCTAAGATACCTAAGACAATCTGCATGACCTTTCACCGACAAATTAAAGCACCCAAGTCTATCACCCGCCAATGAATCCGCCCCACATTGAAGAACCACCGCATCGGGCTGATAAACTTCCATAACTTTATGAACAATCGGTCTAAATAAACCACGGAAGCTATCATCATCCATCCCATCATTCAAAGGAACATTTAGAGCATAGTACTTTCCCTGATTTGCACCAATGTCTTTAATATGCCCTGTACCAGGAAAAAAGTCCCCGAATTTATGAAATGAGACCGTCATCACCCTGTCAGTGGTGAAGAAAGCTTCTTCAACCCCATCTCCATGGTGGATGTCGATATCTACATATAATACACGCTGCATAATAACATTGTTCGGTAAGTGAAACGATCATAACAAGTACCCACTTTGATCTACAACCTTGTATATAAGATGCATTCATGCAATCCAAATTCCAAATTAAACTTCTACTTTCAGAACCCAATTGAGCCCTAAGACCATATAGATCAGTTTTGTTTAAAGTATATTAATCCCATATTTCAATAGTAACTTCATGATCAACCACCTCTATATTAGAAATCAAGATTAAAAAGCCAAAATACTTGAATAATCATGGAAAAGGGTACCGGTGTTCATGGTTTTAAAAATCATTCAACGCTTACGCCTCGAGGCGCGCCTCAAGGTGAGGCGGCCCAAAACGCACCTGAGCAACGCCTCTTGGACCCGGGACAAAGCTTACGCCTTGGTCCAGTGAGGCGATTCATTGAGGCTATTCAGTGAGTCGTGAGGCAGTGTTGAGGCATACGCCTCAGATGATCTGCTTCAGCAATGGTTTTTTTGACTTATTTTATAAGCTTTATGGCTGCAGTAGTACTTCTCTTTACAGTATAAGAGTCTTTTTCATTTTTAAGAAATAAAAATCAAAGCCCAATTTGTACTTTTAATATTTTAAAACCCAAAAACTAGTATTTTCTCCTCTCAATCAAAAAGTGTGGTTTGAAGTTTGAACCTTCCTCTTCCTCCAAGCAAACAACTTTTTCACACCCTCTCATCCTATCTCATGTTTTCACTCTTTACTCTGTCAAGAACCAGTGAATTAGTAATTCAGTATCATGTATAATATATACAGAAATGTGTATATATTTGTGTAGTATATATACATATTTTGGTGTATATTTCCACCTCGGGCCTTACGCCTCGGACCGCTAACGAGGGAAAACGCCTCAAGGTTCGATTCTGCCTTTTAAAACCTTGCCGGTGTTAACCAAAAGCAGCAGCGACAAACATCCACACCAGAAACAGTAACTAAAATCCCAAATATGGCATGTTGTCAAATAGAAATAGACCATTTTCTCTAACAGCTAATTTCGATATTTGTAGAATGGAAAGTAGAAATATAGTGAGCAAAAATCCATACCCTATGGACTTTGAGAAGCTCAAGAATACCCAATACGATATCATTAACATAACAAAACCCTGATGCTTCGGACTTCTTGGCGTGATGCAACCCTCCTGCCCAATTCACCGCAATGTCGGCGTCTTGCCGGTTAAGCTTAACAGCGGCACCTATGGATCCACCGGCAGACGCCTGGCAGAACTCAAAAATGCCGTCAAAGACCGGACAATCCTCGCCGACGTTGAACCGCTTGAGGTGACGAGCATGTGTGTGGTCGTGAAGGGTATCGGGTGTGACGGAGGCCAGAAAGTCTACATAGTCATCGGAGTGAAACCGTCGGATATCTTCTGGACCGGCGGGAAAGGGACGGATGATCTCCATTCGACGGTGAAGAGAGTAATGCACGATGAGGTTGTGAGCCATGCGGATGCGATGAGGTTTCATCGGGTGACCTTGGCCGTAATAATAGTCACCGATTGAAGGTTCATAGAAGTAGGAGACACGGCGTTTTTTACCGTCAGGACCTGAAGGAAGTGACGCTCCTCCGACAGAGGATGACTCGACCATTATGATTCGCGGCGGTGCTGCGTGACCGGAAAAGAAGAGGGTATCCAATAATCGCCGCCGCGAAAGTAAAGACGAGTGGAGTAGTGCTGCCCTGCGCCGGTGGGGATTGTTCGAATTCGAGGGTTAGCAACCCAAAGTCGATGAAATACAACACAATCAAAAGGGAACTAGGTTTTGAAGAAGATGAACGATAAAAACACTAATTAGGTTTTGATGATTTGCCATTTGTGTTCTTATGTGGAAGCCACATAAGCATTATGTAGCATTTATGACTCCATTTTTAATCATCAATCGGTCCATAACTTAAATTCTAATTATTTCATAAGATTTAATTGGAGTGGTTCACATCATTTTGATACATAATTGGTTCGTGTTTATCAACATTTTCTGGTAAATATCAAGAATCTTGTCGGTAAGGGCGAAGACAACGACCGAGAGTCTTACTCGATAAGTGAAGGCGACGACTCTTATATTTTACATTAACAACATGACCATTTTTCGGAGTTTTTTAAACAAAATTACCATGCAAATCACCTCTGGGGTGATTTTGACCTTTTATATTTTACATTAACTAGTTGTGTATCCGTGCAATGCGGCGGAAGCTATGAATTTTAACGATTTTGAAGTTCTACTGGTTTTATAAGATAAGATTTAACGATGATATAAGTTACACTTGATCTTTACATATTAATACAATTTGAATAAATAAGAGTTATGGTTTCAATTACAGACTATCGATAAAAAAAAATTGTATGACAGTTTAAAATCCAATATATTTAAAATCCAACATATTTAAACGACTCCACAAATATATTTGATTTACAGCAAGAGCAAAGAACCAAGAAACTTGAGTTTTAAGATAAACACTCAAAACCAATAAAGAAAACTATAAATTTGACAGATCATAAGGCATGAAAAAGACAAAAAAAGTTGGGTTTTAGAATGAAATTTCAACTGTTTACCATCTTTCTTTTCCAGAAACTCAGATTAAAGTTGAATTAATACATGTATATATATATTTCAAAAAAAACCCAAGAACATATTAATTCAAAACATATTATACAGTGCAATTTGGACAGCCTAACCCCAAAATATATAGTATATATATAAATAAATAACTATAAAAGTRTAAATCGTAAATATTAAAAATATTTTTTTTCACAGTATATATAATATATAATAATATAATTAAGTAAAAAACTATTCAATATTGGACTCATTTCGAAGGTATTAACGAGACGATTATAATGGTGTAACTTGTTAAAATAAAAATGTATTTTTTAAACACGTTTTAATTGATATACGATTATGTATGTTAATTTGATAAAAGTTTAAAATGAAACATTTAAAAGTAAATGACGTAAAATAAATAAATTAATTAATTATAGGGGTATAAAGTGTAAATTTAAAATTATAATTTAAAAAAAAATCGGTTGTGAGAGGGTGAGTGTATGTGAGAGGGTGAGTGTATGTGAGGAGAGGAGATGATGAGATGATGAAAAAGTGAAAAAGTGAGTATAAAGGGTATTTTGGTCATTTAGAATTTTAAGACTTTAAGACTTTTGCTAAATTTGTTTAATAATATAGTATAGATAAGATGACCATTTTTCGGAGTATTTTCAACAAAATTACCATGCAAATCTCCCATAGGGTGATTTTGACCTTTTGGGGGCGATTTTGACTAGAAGATATGGAGGGGACACACACACACACATATATATATATATATATATATATATATAGATATATGATTTGGGGGGGACAAAAAATTAGATATTATATCTGATATAGATGAACCGTCCCAAAAGGCTCAAATCACCCCTGGGACAAAAAATCAGATATTATATTTGATTTATAATTTATCTCCGTATCGAACTTGATATATAGCTAATTTTTGTAATTACAAATAAATTCCATTATCTATGATATTTGAAATGGCTAAAATTGGTTTAAGAAATTTGCTGAATATACTTTTATTTAGTAAAATAATAGAATGATCAGGTTGAATAGAGAATTGTAAAAACCTTAATAACCATTTATTTATACAATATATACATGTGTATACAAATAATTTGTCTGGTTATATACACATGTACATAAACTAAAAAAAATATCTCCAGTTACTTGTATTTCAATGTGAATACCATATAAATGAATAGTTATTAAGGATATATATATATATATATATATAGAGAGAGAGAGAGAGAGAGAGAGAGATGTGTGTGTTATTATACAACTATTTACATTTGTACAACTAATACAACCCAATCTCAGCAGTCCATTTAATTTGATTAATATATGATTTCATAGAAGTTTTGATTATTTCATAATATAAAGTATTGATCATAATAAATAAACTATATTCACCTTTCATAAATATTCAAATCATAATAAATAAACTCTCATCATTTCCATAAATATATCAATTTATTGGGTTGCATTAGTTGTACAAATGCGATGAATTGTATTTGAAACGAAATATATATATATATATATATATATATATATATAACATATAAAAAAAGTAAAATTAAATAATAAGGTCCAAACAAGCCCATTTTGGCACATCAGGTTTAAAAACATGAATCAAATCAATTGTCCTTAGTTAAATATGGACCACACCATATGTTTTTCCTTGTTGGGCCCAAAAGAACCTAGCCCAGAACTATTTTTAAACATGTTATTTAATTGGCTTTCTATTAAGTCATATATGAATAAAATCGTCTCTAAAATTAATCAATCTGTATAGATTGAAAAAAATTTTGTGCGAGAACATTTTAACATACTATTTAATTGGGCGGGACATGTTTGAAAAAGAAACTTGGTTTTTTACGTAGAGCCCCTTTAGAAGCTTACTAAATAAGACACTTTTTATATCATTAAGCCACTTCCATTTATCACATATAATTGACTGAATAAGGTGGGACTCTCATTAAACTTATTAAGTTACCAACGAATATACCCATAATCAGCTATATAACATACAAAAGTTTAAAAAAAACATTCTATTTTCAATTTAAAAAAATATCTAAAATAAAATTTGAAGAAATTTAAGTTGTTATTTTTGCGGTTTATTTTTTTAATAATATAATTTTTTTATAAATTAATTATTATCTATACTATATTATAAAATATTTGATAAAACAATTTAAAAATAAATTTTTAAGTATAAAATATTATTTATTAATTTATATTACTTAAAATTCAAGATTATAATGTATTGATATAAAAAATTATGTATTATTTTGGTTAACAGTTGAGGGTATTTTTGTAATTGACCTGGACCGAAGGAACTTTAGCGGTGGACGACAACTATTCCGATCTCATCAACCGTTCATGGCGGAACGAACACGCCGTCGCAACTGAGATACTCCGATTGGACTCCGCTTTCGTTCTGAGGTCCAGAGAACACATACTATTGAAGGTACTATATCCATAGATGATCACCAAGTTTTTTTTCCTATTCCGATTTGTTTTTTTCTTCTTTTGTTGCTCAATTTCCGCTGAACGAATTTGTGTATGTATGCTCACAACTTCTAATTCTTCGATGTTAGGGTTCGCGTGTGGTGAAATTGGACACTGTATCATGAATCCTTCAGATTGAAATGAACGCGATGAAAATAGATGAATGGTCGTGTCCAGCTTCGTAAGCAATAAACCATAAGTTCGTCTCATGTAAACATGTTGATTGTTGCAATCAGCTTCATAGATTTTCGTATGCATCATGGGAGATTTCTGCTTAATTCGGTGTTAATTTTATCATTCAGTTGATCCAAAGGGCATAGATTGAGATATCGATTGCTTTAGGATGGATCTGAATGCTGTTACGTGTTCTTCTTGAATGGTGATCTAAATATCATTTTTAGATCGATTAATTCATGTTTGACATCCAAAAAATAACCACCGAGTTTTTGGAATCGGCTCCCTTATCAAGAACAGAAGTGAGGCAACAAGCATGAGGCTGATCTGTTATCCAAACTTGATACTTCACTCTGGAAGTACACTATGAAGTTCAAGACGTTCTAATTTTTGCAATTACCCCATTGTTGCAGGCCTAATGAATACATGAAACAACCTTTTGATCAATCTGTTTTGTGAAAATTGTTAGATGGTTACAAGTTTTCCTTTAAAGCAATCCACGATATCTAAAGAAAATGGCATGGTAATTTGATAATCTTCTTGAGTTTGCATATATTTTACCTGCAATAATGGCATATGTGCAAGCAAAACACTGTTCGAAGTTAAAAATGTAAGAATATTGTAGAAGATATCTAAAGAATCAAAATGGAAAATAGCCAAATGATTATCTGGTAAGATCATGAGTAGCATTTTCTCTCAATTTTGGACTTCATTTTCTGATCCTAAACTGTTCTATTGAATTTCCTTATGATGCTTCAGGTTGCAGCAACAGCAAGTGACTCAAAAAGTTGTCTGTATCTTGCTTTTTCTGCGTGAATTTGAGTCCCGAAAACCCATCTTTATGTGATGGTGTAGTTTGTTTCAGTCATTATGGATTCACACCTTACCACACAAGCTCAAAGTCCCCGAGCCTGAGGATAACGACCTATCTATAAATTACACTTCAAAGCGAAACGATATGGTCCAAGGTAACCAGATGTGGCATCCTTATCATCTTTAATAAGTACTTTTGTTAACCTTGTGTCCATTCGTATATGCTTTTACATTACACCATGTTGTTATGCTCTTGTTCACATTTAGGAATAAGATGACAAACAGATAAAAACAATTCATAAAGGACAATTGTGATGGCTTTGGCACTTGGTTTTGCTGTATCTGGTGCTTTCCTGTTTTGCTGTTGTCTCAATGTTGAGAAATCTTCTATCTAATGCAAAACACAACCATCATGAACACAAAAATAAATACAGGTTGCTCTCTGGCTGATAATGATGTACAAACAAAACAGACGAACTATTTGTCTTGTCATTGCACTTCCCATTTCAATTTTTGACATCTGTGGAACTACTTGTACACAAATTGATTTCTGTTGTGATATCTTTTATCCTGCTCAGTTGCTGCATGAAATAGTTATGTGAAACGCAATCAGATTACTCTTCATAAGAGCTCATCACTTGACGCGAGAAGGGAGGTTCCAACATATATTGAGGATAAATGGTCGAAGCCTAGAAGATGTGGCATTCTAACATACCCCCTCCATAGTGTCTAGAGGGGCTAGATGGGTACAAAATGGCTCAAAATGTCGAGTCTTAGACGGGTAGACTGGCTCTGATACCATGTGAGAATGTGGAACTCATCATATTACTCTTCAAAAGAGTCCTTAAAAGAGAAAGGGAGGGGGGGGTCCAACGTATGAAATAGTTGTGTTAGATATGTGAAACCCAATCAGATTACTCTTATAAGAGCTCATCACTTGACGTGACAAGGAGGATCCAACATATATCGAGGAGAAATAGTCCAAGCCTAGAAGATGTGGGACTCTAGCACGCCCCCTTCAGTGTGTCTAGAGGGGCTAGACGGGTACAGACTGGCCTAGAATATCGAGTCCTAGAGAGGTAGACCTTACAGATCAGTAGCTCGTTCTATTCCATGCCTTGTAACATATACATTAGGCAATAGCTGAAATTTTCTGCGAAACATTTTCCACTTGGTTTTTTATCTACTTTTCCATGGGAACAAAATAATTTGATTACTTTTTGCTTACCATCCACCACTACTTCATTTGATCAACTTGTGTAACTGATTCACGTAGGATTAATTATGGCTGTCTGCATTAAGTTGGTTCTTCTTCTCAAGTCCACCAAACCATGAGTGCAGGTCAGACCAGTCATCGTGTTTAAAATCAGCTCTATCTCTTCAACCGACCTTGTATAACAAAGCAATTAAATTTGTTATGAAAACCATGTCTGCTCTCATTTGACAACACCCGTCAAAGCTATGCGGTCACTAATTTACAACACCACATGATTACTTTGCTATATCATTCCAAAAATAATACATAATTTTGAGGGTCAGCTCAACTAACAAATAAGAGCATTTGTGCTTCTTTCCATAGGTCATCAGTTCGATTCCTCAGGGCGACTGGGGATTTTCCTGGCTGTTACTTTCAGGAAAGCCAGCTAAGACATCCACAGTTACCCAGAAAAAGAACATGACATGGTACTAAGGTTGCTGGCAAAATTGAGCGGAGGATGCAGCAGTGGTGGTGGGTGGTGGTGGTGGGTGGTGATGGTGGTTCTTGGAAAGTAGAGGCAATGTTTTCCTTCCTAGAAAGGTATGGTTCTTTTCAAACAATCACAATCAACAAACGAAAAAGGCTTCTTTTCCAAGTGATGATGATGAATTTAAAGTTGTTATATGAGAGAATAGAAACTCCCTTCCCTTCCCTTTCCTTCCCCCTTCCCCCTTTTTCTTATTCTTTTTTCTCTCTTTCTTGAATCCTTTGCCCCCACTCATGATTTGGTCCCTTTGGCCATGGGCTGTCCCAATACCTTTGCTTGTCTCTATAGAAAGAAAAGGAATATTTAATCCTGTCTGTTAAAGATCATTATAATCCCATGCTTCTGCCCTCCTCATTTCTTGTCATACGTACTAAAACATATATATATATATATATATATATATATATATATATATATATGTAGAGGAGCGTTCA